GAAAGCTGCTTGTATTCGGAGAGATCCCGCTCCAGGCAAAAGCGCAGCCCACTGCGAGGAGGTAGGGGGAGCTGTGAGGTAGGGGGAGCAGAGAGCTGTCCTACCCAGTTTGGCCCAGACTAGGCCAAGGTGGGAGGTTACCTGGGAGGAGAGCAGGGGCCAGATGAGAAACATGGTGGAGAGAGCCAAGCCCCTGCCTTCCAGGATGCAGACAGGTGGTAAGAGTTGGGGCTAGTGTTCCCAACTGGAATGTGCAAGATATTCAAGCATCTTCATGCTTTGACTGTCTCCCATCTCTCCAGCCCCCGTTCCCTACACTTCCGCAGTTTCCTGGGTGCCACCCAAACCACCAGCATAACCAAGCACTCCATACCTTTGCTCGAGTTGTTTCAGTGCCTATATGACCCTTCTCTACCTGAAAAACTCCTCCTCAGTCTTCACAGCCCCATGCCATCTTCCCTGACCCTCTGCCCCTCCCCTTCAGCTCAGACGCCCTCTAGTTGGTCACCACCTGTGCATCCCTATCTGGTAGCCCACAGACTATTACGTTGTCATTATTGATGGAAAGCTTGCCTTCTCTCACTCACCCTGTGCACACACAGGGGAATGCTTTCTGGTTTTTTTACTACTGTATAATGCCTGCCAGAGTAGGTTCACTAAAGGACTGAAAAATGAGTAAAGCAGTGCGTTGCTGGGGATCAGAGGGAGATAAAGATGAGGCAAGCTGGAAGGGGGGCTGGAGAGCCCAGCAGAGCAGCTGAAAATATATAAAAGCAAATCAGGAACCACTGAAGGCTCTTGAGCCATAGAGAGACACGGTAGAAGCTGTGTTTTCAGAGCCTTGAGGGCAGGAAGGTGGGTTGTAGGGGATGGCCTGGTGAAAGACAGCCTGATTTCCCCCAGGACACCCTGGAGGCCCTCATCTCCATCCCTGTTTCTCTCCACAGTCGTGTCAGCTACCTGACCCCTTGGCATTAATCTGTGAAAAGAAGGCCGACCCCCCGGCTGCCAGACTGTGCCACCTCAGTTTCCCCATCAGGACGGAGAGTGTATGGTGGCACCACCCATCTCCTTAAGGTTCACCCTGACTGGAAGTAAACCTAATGCTCCCACAGGGAGATACTAGTCCCATGTGTGTGTTTGTGTGTGTTTGTGTGTGTGTGTGTGTGTGTGTGTGTGTGTGTGTGTGACAGAGGCTTTGAGAAGGTCAAGACCTCAAGATGATGATGTCTTACCCTTACCTGCTCCCTACCAACTCCTGGAGGACTGGTGGAGGGCTACAGAAAGCTATCCAGTGACCCCCAGGTAGAGAGTGAGTCAAGATCTAAGCCCCAAGGCCCAGCCGGAGGTGGGGTGCTGAGGCAGGCCTGAGAGTTGGGTTGTCTCTGTGTCCATGTCCACTGCTTGCAGCCCCACAACCAAGCTTCCTCCACTTGATTCTCTGAACTTGAGCCCTAAAAATAAAAAAGGGGGTTCAAAAGGGATTTTTAGACACCTCTCTTGTACCAGTGTTCTCCGGGGGGCTTTCCTGGGCCCAGGGTCCCCTGAGAGGTGGAGGCAGGCTCTGGAGCGCTGGCGAGGCCTATGGCCTCTATTCCCTGTGAAGTAGCAGAGCGTAGAAGTAAGATGAGATACCTGAGACCACTCAGAGAAGAAAGCTTCCTGGTCCCCAAGGCACCACCAATGAACATACCATGTAAGCAAAATGTCTGCTCTATCCACGTGGCTTCAGGACTAGCCCTCATCTGCCCACCAACCTACAGAAAGGAAGGCATGATGTCCTGAGTACAGCCATGGGCACCCCTGGGCCTGGTTCAGAATAGCCCCACTCAAACTGGCTAAGGAAGAGTGTCTATGGCATGGTTCGGGGGTTGCAGCAACAGCATCAGCACTTAGGTCCTGGGCCTTGCAGATATCCCACCCCCACCCACCTGTGGGCAGTCTACAAGGACAGACCCAGGTCAGCAAAACAGCCACGAAGCTCAAGAACTGTTTAAACAGGACCTTTGGTGCAAGGGTAATGAATCTTCTGAAATCATGTGCAAAACTGTATATGTGTGCATTTTCCATGGAAAGGCTCCTTGTTTTTCATCTGATTCTCAGGACAGTCATTGCCTTCAAAGGTTAGAAAGCCCTGACTCACACCCTCCTCCTCCCCTTCCACTAATATTTACCAAGCGCCTAGTACATGCAAGCCAGGTCTCAGATGGAAGGAACTGAAAGAATAATACCAGCCCCTCACTTCTGGACCCTGATATACTGTTTAGAACATATTATCATGTGACCCACGATCTCCTCAGACCCCACAAGCACCTTGGGAAGTGAGCAGAACTAACGCTACCCCATTTCACAGATGGGAAAACTGAGGCCCAGATCAGGAAAATATTAAGTTAGCTTCTGGCCAAACCCAGAACCCAGGATTCGAAGCGTGTCCCAGCACTTGACAGTGTTAGCATATAGTTGTTGCTCAATATTTATAGAATAAATTATTTCCCAGATTGGGGGTCTATTGTTCAACCTTGGGTATTAAACAAGGAAGTGAGTTGTGTTGTTGTCTGATATGGAGACAGAGCCTGCCTTACAGACTCAAGGCTGATTTTATTTTATTTTAGGGGTGGATGATGATCAGTACTTTTTATAATGAGGCGAGGGACCGTGGTATCCATCTCTCTGTCCTTAAGTTTGGGGCTGTGATGACAACAGGGCAGGAGAGCAGAGTGTGGGGAGGAGCAAACAGGAAGTAGTAATCAGGCCACTGCCCCTTCCTCCTTGGGGCCCTGTCAAGGAGGTACCCAGCCTCACCCTATTTCATGCAGGAAAAAGCCCTTCCCTCCAAGCCCAGCAGACAGTCCACCTAGCTTGAGCCTTGGGAAGCCGTTGGCAGAGCCCCCTGGGGTGTCAGGACCACATTCTGCCTCTCTGAGTGCCCCTTCCAATATGCCAGATCAGAGAAGAGATGGATTTTGCCAAGTCTCACAGCAGGGATGCTGGAGTCCTGGCCTGTATGAGACTGAGGACAGCCAGAGAGCTCCAGAGAGCATGCCAACACATTCCAGAGAGAATCAAGTGCCTGGGAGTTTTTCCTGGCCCTGCTTCCTTGCGACTGAACGACTGGGCAAGTCCATCCAGGAATTTGGCTCAGCAGACATTTGAGCCTCACCAGGCCCTGCGTTGGGTGCTGGTGGGACGCAGACCAGATGCTATCCCTACCTTAGAGGTGCTTCCAGTCCAGTGTGAGAGGCAGGCTCACCTGATTCAAAACTGAAAGCAGAAGGTGAGAATGTGAGCACACCTGAACCCTGTTCCTCAAACCCAAGAACTGTGAATGGTAACCCACACCAGCAATCTTAGTAAGGCTCTTGCCCGCCTGTTGTACATTGAATCCTGATGTCATAGATATGAAAATGCATGCCCAGGAACAAAGGAAATGCAGAGTAGATGCACATTAACAAGCTTGATTTATAATAGAATGCACTTTCTATTTTTTAAGTGCAAGGCAATGTGTTTAAGCACGTTGCAGGCCCCATGAGGTGGGTAATTGTAGACCCATTTTACAAATGATGAAAAGAACTTTGGGAAGTTAACTGGCTGGCCCAAGGTCACACAGGCTGGGAATTGAAGCCAGGCTGCCTGACCGCCAAGCCTGCGGCCACCATACTCTACTGTCTTCCTGCTATGAGAGAGATGGGTGGAGGGACATTTGACCAGGGCTTCAAGGGAGGAGATATCCCACCAGAAAGCTCTCTTGGACTTGCTGGCAGTGGCAGAGTCCGCAGGTTGGAAATCCCTCCCAGAGGCCAAGAGATGGAGAGAATCCCCACAGCTACCCAGCTGGACCACTGTCTCCTCGCCTCAAAGTCCCCTGAGCCTCAGGGAACTGTTTGCTCATTATAAATAGATCACATTAGAAATCCTCCCTGGGACCACTGCCTCAGGGGCAGCTTAACCTCCATGGCCTCAACTCCAGGACTTCCTAGCCTGACCCCAATCCACTACCCTGGCCCTGGGCCTGGACGTGTTACCAACACAAACCCCACCACCAGCCTCCTTGCTGTTTCAAACACCCTAGGCTCTTCTCTGCTTTCTAACCTTTGTTCAAAGCCTTCCTTCCCCCCTGAAATGCTTTCCCCATCTCTTCCTACCCAAATGCCCCCCACCCCACCCTTTATTCCAGGCAGGCCTCTTTCAAGTCCTCCTTTCTCACCCCATTCTTTTCCTAAAGACGAGGACAGGGACCGTGGCTGTCCTGGAGGGATTCACTCCTGGCCTCTGGCTCTCAGGAAATACTGCACTCTCCTTTTCTCTCCAAGTGGACTTGGGGCTCAGGGATGGGGTCTGGGGCCTCCCAGAACCAACACACAGATCTGGATTAAATGAAACAATACTACAAAGTAATAGTTGTGTTTATTACAAAGTAACACAAAACACATCCTCACCCAGGGCCTCGGGCTGGCAGTCTGGCAGGACCAGGGATAGGGTAAGTGCTCTAGAGGGGTGGGTGAGGGTCAGGGAGGTCTCTCGCAGGTAATTTTATATTAAAATCAGTAGCTTTGACATTTTTCACCTTACCTTTTGATACATGAAAACCTCAAAACTCTCTTACCTGAAGTTCTTGTTTCATGGCTGTAGCACCAGCTCAGTGCCTGGCGAACAGCAGGTACCCAGTAATGCTTGTGGAGGAGCAAAGGCAGAAACGCAGACCAGGGGTGGGGAGGGACACACACAGTGATACGGAGACCCCACCGGCCCCCTCCCACGCAGCCTATACCTTTGACCTTCTCAAGGCCCTGAGGAGGACTAGACATTCCAGTCTGAATCTTTGTATTTGCTGAAGATCAGTAACAGCCAAGGCTTTTTCCTGGAGGCATGACCTTCAAGAAACAAAGAAACTGCCTGCTTGAGGATGGGATTTGGAGCTTATCACCCAGAGCCTGGCCCAGACTGGGAGGCCCTGGGCAAAGTTCCAAGGCCTAAGCAGCCCCTGGTCCTGTCTGAGGTCTGCTCTGGAGGAAGCAATGAGGTGGGGGCTGGGAGGTCAGGCTGGAGGGCTGGAGGCAGAAGCCCCTCCACAGTGGCGCCTGCGGAGGCCTAAGCTCACTATGGAGCTGCCTCTGCACAGATGGGAGGACCGAGCACACCGGCTTCAATCCCTCAAGGAGTTGGGAGCAGGCCAGAGGGCTGGCCACCCCTCTGCCTGCTGGTGAAGAGCTTTCCTGCTTCCCTGGCCAGACCCAGTGCCATTGTTTCCTGGTCATTGTTCCCGGCTTCCTGGCCAGCAAAGAATGGGCTCTGGCCAGGCTTCCGTGGCTGGAGCTGGAGGCCTGTGAGGCTCAGAGCCCACGGCTGCCCTGGCCCCCACTGCCTATCTCCAACCTGGCCCACCTGGCTGACCCCCACAGTTCCGGGCCACTTCCCTCACTACTGTATGGATTGGGGCAGCCCACGGACTATCCAGGGTCAGCACAAAGGGGTGCTCAGCCCTGCCCATCTCATAGAGGGGGTGCGAGGCTCAGATCAGCTGTGGGGCGGGAAAGGTCTTGTGAACAGGCTGATGGAGGTGGTGGGGGGACAGCCCTTAACATTCAGATGGGAGGGCTGGGCTGGCGCCCTCCCACCTCTGCTCTCCCGGCGCGCTGCTTTCCTGAGTGGCCACTGCGTGCCAATCACTCCACACAGGTCATTTCCCTATATCCTCACCCTGAGCCAGAAGAAAGCATTACAGGCTCCATTTCACAGATGAGGAAAGTGAGGCTCAGAGGTCCAACAACCTGCCCAAAGCCTCGCTGCTGATGAGTGGCAGAGGCAGGTCTCCAGTCAGGTCTGACTGGTGCTCTTATCCGGGACATCACGCCACTGCCACCGTGGTTCACGAACACAGGCTCTATTCCTGGAGAACAGGGTCCCCTCCCACTGTTCCCCTGCAGGGCCTAGCTCAGAGCCAGCCCACAAAGCTGCCAAAGCTGCCAGATGATGGGCTCCCTAGGAAAGTTGTCTTTGGGGGCTCAGCTGGCCCTGACAACGACTTCTAGAACCTGGGAGAACGCCTCTTCCCCCAGCCAGAGGGAATTACTAACTCCAAAATGTGAAATTTGTCAGCCTCTCCCTCTTGCTCCTCCCAGCTCTGGCTGTCATCCAGATGTCACCCCTCACCCCAAGGTACCACCCTCTTGCCCTCCTGTCAGTGGGTGGGGGAAAGGCAATGATTACCCAGAGACTAACAAAGATAGCGCTGGTTTGTACTCCTCGTCACAATGTCTGAAGTTGTCCTATGAAAATGTTATGCTGTAAGTGAGAAAGAGTCGCATCAGATATGGGAGAGGACGCTGTGGGTTTCCTGGGCAGGTAGGTGGGAGAGGTACCTGTGTGTGGCCAGGTGCAGTGGGCAGCTGCTTAAGCCAGTTTGTGCTGTTCCTGTCACTTATTATCAAAGAGCTGGGACTTGAACGCGAGCATCCAGGCTCCCGGGCCAGGCCTCCATTCACTGTCCTGGTTTGGGCCCAGGCTGGAGCACAGGCTGAGGGTCAGTGGAAGCCACCGGAGCCCCACGGCTTTGTGAGGGGCGGTAGGGTTGGGCATAAAGGAAGAAAAAGTCATTGCGAGCTCCGTGTGAGCTCAGCCATGCTCAGCCAGGGCTCCTCCTGCCTCGGGCACACACACACCACCATCCATTCAGGAAGGGCAACCTGAAGCTATAAAGCACCAAACAGGCTAGTGCTTTCCAGGCCTCTCTGTGAAGGGGGTAGGTTTTGTCTAAGGTCACTCAGTTAGAAGGCAAGCCGGGATTCGAGCCTGGCACAGACACAGGGGCCCTGGGCGTCCTCTCGCTGAGTGGCGGTCACCTGCAGGAAGGAAACACGATTTCTCAAGGGCGGGGTCCTCCTACGGCCAAACACACAGACGGGATGAGTGTGGGGTCCGAGTCATATCTGGGGCCCCCCAGCCTTTCCACTAAGCCTCTTGTGTTGTTTTGAGCCCCTGCAGCACGGGTAGCTCCCTTGTCCTCCTTTCTTCCCTCACGGCGCTCCCACCCCCAGGGCAGGGTGTTCCTGCTGACTGCCCTCCACTGGCTCTCAGATGCCCAGACCTGCGGAGGCTGTTTCTCCCTCTCTCCCCACCTCCACCCTCGCCTTTGAGAAACGAAGGAGCCCGAGTCGCAGTTGGCCTGCTGGGAGACAGGAAAGGGGGTACAGAAGAATAGGTGTGTAGGAGGGTCGAGGTGAGAGGCAGATGGGTTGGGCATCCAGACAGATCGCTGTGTGCCAGGGAGAGCGTGCGAGAGCAGGCGATCCTCTGGGGCAGGGCCCGTCTGGCTGGGTCCACTGCTGCTCCAGGCAGGCCCTGGTTTTCCACTGGGGCTGAGCCAGCTCTCATGCTTACAGGCCAGCTTCTGACCGTCCATGAGCTTCTGGTCCCTCACGGCCCAGCTTCTTTGCAGGGGCTGAGGGTAAGCCACAAGGAGTTCAAGCAGTGGCAGGGCCACTTCCGAGGGTCCCAGGTATCCTGCAGTTGGGACTATCAGCATCTTCACAGCGTCCCCACCAGGGCCTCCATACATGATTCCATTTAATTCTCACAACAGCCAAGCAAGGCAAGGGTTGACCTCCCCGCTTTACAAACAGGCAACTGAGTCCCAAAGAGGGATTTCCCAGTGACTTGGTCAAAGTTACACAACTAAAACGTTCAAAACTCAGGATTTGAGCCCAGCCTTATGTCCCAGTCCCAAGCCTGCACACTTCCCTCTACCTCCCCACGTCCCATCACCCCCTGTGGAAGAATGACCAGAACACGCAGGGCTTTGGTCTGTGATGGTCAATGTCTTTACTTCTAAAGCATACATTGATTGGACTCACTATATATTAACATTAAAAGGGCTATCTAAAATGGGAGTCATTCTTCTTAAAAATCCAAATTCTCACATTTTCATATAAGAGCCAAAATGACATGAAGTTAACTATACAATGTTAGGAATAGTATAACAACTGCTTTTAAAAAGCAAAATGAAAGGAAAACATTAGCAGTTGGGACTGTTGTCAGCCTGGGGTCCATGTCTTTTGAGGCATTGTGACTGCGAGCCAGCACCAAGGGGAAGGACCAGCCCCTCTGCAGGCACAGGAAGGAGACCTGGTCAGAGCGGGGCGGCGGCCGTGTACTTTTCAGACTTCTTCAGGTGAGCTAGGACAAAACAGGGCCCCCTGCTCCTCTGGGCCTTTGGTACACTGGCGAGTCTTCTTTTAAGACCCACTAGCAGGGAAGGGGGCTGGAAGAGGACAGGAGCAGAGCTGGGTTCAAAATAATCATTTTGACAATAAAGGTCCTCTGGGCTTCCCAAGGAGGGTACCTGCCACCCAGTGACATCGATCAACTCCATTTACCTACTGATTTCCTGAACAACCCTCTTCCCCTGCCTGCTCCCTACGCCCTGGACACCTTCAGCTCCATGAGCCCTGAGGTCAGCCAGACACCTGGGGGACCCTTAGGACCCAAGGGAGAATTCACTGGCCTTGGAAGTAGCTGGATGTTGTCCGGGGCATCTTGGCAATGCAAGATCCCTGGGGTCCAGGCCAGCAGCCAGCCTGATGGGGGAGGGTTCCCATGGGCTGGGTGGGCTCTGTGCAGTCAGAGGCCAATTACACAGTCCTTTCACCTGCCCCACCCTGGATACCCAGGCCTGGTCTTGGCTCTGAAACAGGGCTGGGAGGCGATTGGGGCCATGCCCTTGACACTTTGGTTCACATAATTCAAGGAGAAGGACACTTGTTCGCATCCACTGGGAAGATCATGGGCTTGAGGTCTGCTTCCTCCCGGGCACCAGGTGGTCTAACAATCCCCTTCTTTCACATCAGCAGTTGTCTGGCTGAGAGCACATTGCCACCAGAGCTCGGAACCATGCTGCAAAGGTGGGAGACGTGCTTCCGAAACATTGGGATTAGACCTCAGTGCAAGGGCTGCCTTTCCTCCTTTCCCTGTGGATGGCACTGTCCTGGCTGGGCACTGCCCCTGGCTGAGTGTGTCACAGGAGAACTTCCTCCCTTCTGGCTAAGCAGACTGCTCTCCAGGCAGACCCAGCGCACAGATGTGCATCCCTCCTGTACATCTCACCTGTCAGAAACCTGAATGATGCCTTCCCCCTGGCTGGAGCAGACAGAGAGGCCGGTGGCTCACAGTCTGCCCTCCTGGTCTCCAAGACTACAGCATGAAGCTGGCCTTCTCCCTCAAACAGCCACTTGAAAGAGAAGCCCACCTCCGGGGTCCAGGCCTTCTACCAGGCCCTACCATCACCATCCTCTTTCCTAACCCATCTGGTTTCTAATTAGGCTGTAAGGTTTGGGAAGGTTGGGCTGGCACCAACCCTTCCTTGGGGTGGCGAGAGGCCACTTGACTTCCAGTCTGGTTCCAGACACAAGGAAGGCTGGTGGCTCTCAAAAAGCAAATCCTGTAAGGGGAAAGAGGTTTGTGGAACCAAGACCAGCCACGATCTGGAGCCCCCACCTCCGGGCCGGTATCAGGAGTACCAGGCCCCTCCACCTGCCCAGTGCCCTTCTGTTCTCATGCCCACGGCCTCAGAGCATGGAGCTGAGTGAGCTGGGTGACGACTTCCGCCGAGGAGGCTGGGCCCGGCCTGGTGGGGGCAACCTGGGAACTCAGGGCAGGCAGGCAGCGACCTGGTAGGCACCCTCGGCAGCGGCGGCAGCGGCACTATGCTGTGCACTGTGCTCCTGCAGCAGGGCCACGTCAAGGAAGCGCTCGCCACACCACACGCACTTGAACTGCTGCTCACGGGCGTGCACGCCCTGATGCTTGTTGAGATGCTCGCGCTGCTTGAAGGCCTTGTCGCAGTTGGGGCACTTGTAGGGCTTCTCCCCGGTGTGCACGCGCCGGTGCCGCTGCAGGTCTGATGCGTACTTGAAGCGCTTCTCGCAGTCCGGGCACTTGAGTGGCTTCTCACGGGCTGGGTCGCAACGGTGCTGTACAAACTCGGAGGACGAGAAGAAGCGGCGCTCACAGAGGGTGCAGCGCAGGGGCTTCTCGGCTGCGGAGCAGTGGGCCAGCTGGTGCTTCTGCAGGGCCGAGGCTCGCTTGTAGGCCTTGTTGCACACGGGACACTTGAAGGGCCGCTCGGTCGCGCCCGGCAGGCACTTGTGCCGCAGTAGCTCAGCCGACTGGTCAAAGCCCTTCTGGCACACGGGGCACTTGAAGAGGGTCTCCAGAGTGTGCACGTGCTGGTGGTAGAGCAGGTGGCTGGGCTGCCCGAAGCCCTTCTCGCACAGGCCACACTTGAAGGGCTCCTCGGTCTTGTGCGTGCGCCTGTGCCGCATGAGCGCGTACTGCTGTTTGAAGCCCATGGGGCACAGATCGCACTTGAAGGGCCGCTCAGCGCTGTGCGTGCGCTCGTGCTGCCGCAGGTCCGATGGCCGCTTGAAGGCTTTCTGGCACTCCCCACAACGGAAGGGCCGCTCCCCGCTGGGCGTGCACGGGTGCTGCAGCAGCTCCGAGGACTCCTTGAAGTGCAGCTCACACACGTTGCAACGGAACAGGTGGTGCTCGCCCGAGTGCGCGTACATGTGGCGCACCAAGTGTGAGCGGTGCTTGAAGGTCTTCTCGCAGACCGCGCACTTGTAGGGGCGCTCCGAGCTGTGCGTGCGCTTATGGTGCACCAGGTGCGACGACTGGCTGAAGCTCTTGTCACACAGCGTGCACTTGTACGGCTTCTCACCCGTGTGGATGCGCTCATGCCGCGAGAGCTCCGACAGGTGCTTGAAGGGCTTCTGGCAGATGGGGCAGCTGTAGGGCTTGTCTGCCTGTTCAGCAGGGGCGACAGCAGGCGGCTGGGGCCCTGGGGGCAGCGAGGGGGCCGCAGTGGCCGCTGGCTCCGCCACCTCCGCGGGCTTGTAGGTCTTCTCACAGATGGAACATTTCACGAGGCCACCGGCGCCAGTGTGTGCGCTGTGGTGCTGCGCCAGCGAGGTGAGCAGTGAGAAGCCCATCTTGCAGACGCCACAGACAAAAGGCTTCTGCTCAGCCTGCACACACGGATGTTCCAGCAGGTCAGTAGCCTGGTGGAAAATCTTGAGACACTGAGTGCACTGGAATGAGCGGTCATGGCCTGCCAGGCACTGGTGCTCATGCGGACTAGACAGGTGTGCCAGGTCGTGACCACATACACCACACTTGGGGCCAGGCTCGCCTGCTGCCTGCAGGGACGTGTGCTGCGGGGGCTGCAGGCCCCCGTCCGGTTGCAGGAGGATGCCATACACGGCACAGCCCAGGGGGTTCTCTGCTGTGCCTGGGGGGAGCGCATGCTCGGCTAGGGCCGGCGGTGGCTCTGCGTGGTGCTGAGGCTGTGGTGGCTGTGGCTGCTGCGGCTGTGTCTGTGGTGGCTGCTGCCAGCTTTCTGACATGCTTGGGAAGATGAAACAGGGTTTGGAGAGTAACGGCTTCAGTTTCCCTGCTTAAAGTGGACCAACCCAGAGAGAGAAGTTGCCTGGGATCAGGGATGGACAAGGACCTCAGACAAGGCACAGATGAGGGACTGGTCAGACGGCCCAAGTTATTAACCAAGACAGACTACAAGGCTCTGCCTACAGGACAGGGGCTCTTCGAGGCAGGGTGCCAGCAACGCCAGGAAGGCTCTGCCTTCCCCGATGATGGGCCCTGTAGGGAAGAGAGAAATCGTGAGATTAAGGCAGAGACACGCAGCTGTTCCCTGGGCCCTCTCCCTGTTGGACTTGCACTTGCCACATTGACATGAGCTACACCAGGGAAGGGAGCGAGGCTCAGGGATGGGAGATCTGTTCCCTTCACACGCTACTAAAGAAGTGCGCTGGCAGCTCAGCTCCTCCAGCAAAGGGGTTGGTGGCTGTCTTCCACAGCCACCTACCTACCTTCAGTTCCCTCTCAGCCTCCCACTGCTAACCCTCTTTAGTCAGCTGTCTCACAGGTGAGAGTCTGGGATGGATCTGCCACAGCACAAAGAAGTCACAAATTCTGCTCATGCTCTAAGAAAAGAAGGAGGGGAAGACTGACCAGTTAGGGCCATAGTGTCCAAAACAATAATTTCAGCAGCATAACTTTTTTTTGCAAATAAATTCTTACTTGGAAGCCCAATATATCCATAAGATAGGTAAAAGCAGAGAGGTTCCAGTTGAGGCCTCCCTGGGGCCTGACAACTCCTCTCTCATTGCTGCCCAGGAGAACAGCCTGCTGGGTCTAAGAGGCCAAGCCTCCCAGATCTGAGGGCCCAACAGCAGATGGCCTCAGTCAGTCAATATCTAAAACAACTACATAGAACCAAGGACCATCTCAAAAATTTTCTCCTGTGAAAAGCCGGCCCCCATCTCTCTCAACTGTTCCCTAGGCCCTCCACCCTGACCATGCGTCTGTTCTCTCTCCACACAGCAGGTTGGGTGGCCTTGAGGGACCTCTGCCAATGCATGATGGGGCTTAGATGATAAGTCCACAGACCCCAGCCTCCATGTCTACACAGCAGGACTTCCCCACTCTAGTCATCTCCCAGAGCACCAGAAGAAGTCCTAAATCCTCTGAATTTGACCGTGTTAAGGCCTCCCGGAAGATGTAAATAATTATGAAGTTCGCCTCTGCAATGTGGGAAGTAGCACGCTCACCACAGAGTAGTTCTCCTCACCTTTCCTAAGACAACCCTGCTGTTCCCTTGCTCCAAGTCTATAACACTCTGTTGGACTGTCGGAAAAGTCATGACGTCTTTTTTCTGTTTTTCGTTGCAAAAATGCGTCATGACTTTTCTGACAACCCAATAGATAATCAATGGAAGATAACGACAACCCAGCCCAGGCAAATCTCTAACTCACCACTTTGTGGCAGCATAAGGTAATGACAGCAGAGAGGGAGAAACTTTCAGAATCAGATGTAACCCACTTTCAGGTTTCCAGCTCTTCTGCCTCGAACACTGAAAACTTTCTAAGTTTGCTCCCGAGAGAAAGAGAAGGAAGGGGATGCCTTCACAGGCCAGTCTGGCCTCTAACGGTTCTGCCAAAGTAACGTAAGAGTCAGGCTAAAAGCTGTCAGCCTCAGCATCTACCGGGAAGGGAAGAAGGAAAGGAGATGCTGCTCTGGGTGGAGGCAGCAGGTTGCAAAAGCAAGCAAGTGCCTAAGTCTTCCCAGGAAAGAGAGAAGCGGGGGCTACGCCGAGCACCGTGCGAGTCCAGCTGCGCCAACTCAACTGTTTCTTTTTTCTTTCTTTCTTTTTTTCGTCACACATAGCTGCCAGACACAAGGTCCCCGACCCAGGGCCCCTGGTTCCATTGCCCACCTCCAAGAAGGTGCAGCCAGAAGGCCTCCCTGATCACTCCGCAAAGAGAAGGCGAGACTAGGGTAAGGAAGGCAAAGGGAGGCCCCCACCTGCGCCCCACCCCTGCCCCCTTCTTCCTCTCCGGGAAACCAAATGAAAGCCGATCACCTTCCGGCCGGCACTGCCCGCCCGCCCAGCTGGGATGCCTCCTGTCAGCCCTCGCCGGGAATGGCCAGGCCGCTGCTACCCGACCGCGGGCCCTGTGGGCGACTGGGCCCGAGGAAGGCCCCGGGGCCGCAGGCCAGGCCCGGGAAGCGGCTGCGCGTCGAGGCCGGACTGGGCCGCCCAGGCGCTCAGAGGCCGCCGGGTCGGGCTAAAGAACTGGGGGTGCGGCCGGGCCGGCTGGGGAAGGGGTGCGGCGAGCGCGGGAGTGGCCCCCAGACGCGGTCCCGGATGCTCCGCCGCTCACCTGCTCCAGGCCGACCGCGGGGTCAGGCGCGGGGCGAGTGGCGACCGGCTGCTCTCTCGGCCGCCCCTTTATTCCGGCTCCATCGGCGGCGGCGCGGCCTACGCGCGCTGCCAATCCCCGGCCTCGAGTAGCGGTGACGGCCGGCCCGGGGGCGTGGGACGGGCTAGCGGCGGCTGGAACCGAGGAAGCGACGTGCGCGGCCGGAATAGCGGGTCCAGGCAGAGGAGCGCTGGGAGGGAGGGCGGACGGACTGATGGCCTTGCAGAGACCGGAGGACGGGCGGGCGCGCGGGGCCAGGGAGGCGGGGCCGGAGGAGGAGCGGCAGCCGGGGCGGCGGCTGCTGCAGGAGGAGCAGACCGCGCGGAGCGAGGCCGCCCCCTGCCGGGGACCCCGCCGCCAGGCCAGGCCGGGCGGGACAGCCGGATGCACGGGGCGGTTCTCCAGGCGCCCGGCCGGCACGCCTCAGCTGACTCGGGGAGGGCGCTCAGCTTCCGACCACCCTGTTAGATCCTAGGGGAAGGGGCTCTCGGGGCCCGGCCCCCGGCCCGACCCCTGCACGTCTGACCCCTACACCTGAGAGGAGGGGCCTTCTAGACACCCTGGTTTTCTGGACCTGACACGCCTCTGACAGCTCAGCTTGCTCTTAGGGGCGGGGCCCTGGAGCTCGGCCTTTGGGCCGTCTTGAGTAGGGGACTCCGGGACCTCCGATCCCGACCGGGCCTCGAGGGCAGGAATCCCCGCTGAGTCTAAAATGCGCTGACCGCTGACCCAGGGACTGTCCGTGGTTGGGAGGTCTGGTCCCAGGTGGCTGCAGACAGAGCCGCGGACAGAGAGGTCAGCGCCCGGAGCGATCTGGAAAACGGGCATACGGAGGCTGGGGGTACCGGGAGCCTCGGGGTTGCCCTCGACGCGCAGCGAGCGGCAGGAAGCGTGGTCTCGGTGGGTAGAGTCTTGGCTGGGTCCCGCCGGGCCCCGCCCCTCCAGGCCGCGCCCCGGGGAGGTGCTAACACAGGTCCCGCCCCCAGGAGGGCACTTCCGGCGCAGCGGAATTCCGGGTACGCAGTGTGGCCGCTGCCTGGCCCGCCTTGTTGTAGAGGAGGCCCCATGAGTGCGGCGCCCCTGGTGGGCTACAGCAGCAGCGGCTCTGAGGATGAGGCCGAGGCCGAGGCCGAGGCCGGGGCTGGAGGCCGCCCTCGGTGAGGAGGGAAGAAACCTCTCGTGGGAGAGTGCGGGTTCGCGTGAGACCCCGACGGGGATCAGAGTGTCTGGGTGGGAGGATGCGGGGCTGCTCCGCAGGGAAGGAGAAGGGGCGCAGGGTGCCCATCCTCCCTGGCTAGGCCAAGTGTAGGAGACAGGAAACGTGGGTTCGGGTCCAGCCTCTGCCGCTGGTGGACTATCTCCTGGCACGCACCGCTGTGCCACCCGAGGTCTGTTTCCTCATTTAACAGTTGCAGTAGTCATTGCTAAAGCGTTGGAGAGTTTTTTCATTCACCCAGTAAATAGTCATTGAGCACCCATTCTGCACCAGATTCGGGACTTGAGGACTCATCAGTGAACAAAACCATGAAAGTCCCTTACTTCGTGGAGCGTAGTCTCTTTAAGTTCCAGGCCCATGCTTGCTGAGCGCTTTTCAAGCGTTATCTCAGTTGATCTCACAATAGCGCTATCAGATAGAAACAGGCCCACAAAGGGCACATGATTGGCCCAAGACCACAGAGCTAGAAAGTGCTACTCTAGCTCAGGCCTGTCCAGTTAGGGAAGGTGACTCCGAACCACACATTGCTGCTGCCTGCTCAGGTGTTTCCCGAGAGGCTAAGGTCTGCCTCTCAGAGCCCCTGGGAGACCCCAATGAGACAAGACTGGGGAAAGAGCATTGTGGTTATCTAGAAGCTGCTGATCGCACCTGGTGGGAAATAGATGGGCAGTCACCCTGTACAAGGGGTTACAATTTCTGTTGTATTTACAGAGGTAGAGAGTGCTCAGAGGATATATGTGCATGTTTCCTTTTACTGTCTTGCAGTGGCCAGAGCCCCGTCCCCAGCCAGAGGTTGCCAGTACCAGACAGCGTGCTGCACATGTTCCCCGGCTCTGAGGAGGGACCTGAAGATGATAGTGCAAAACATGGGGGCCGGGTGCGCACCTTTCCCCACGAGCGGGGCAACTGGGCCACCCATGTCTACATACCGTGTGAGTAATATGTGAAAGGCAAGTGGCTGAGACATAGGTGCCTCTTGATGGGAGGAAGCTGACTTCCAACCAGGAGGAAGAAGCCTATGACATTGGTGGCGGGAAAGAGATCGACTCAGCAGAGAGAGAATGAAGTTCAAGAATTGAGGACTTTTTCTGTCCGTTAGTTTCAGATTTCAAATCATTGCCTGAAATCTTTTTTATTAACCTTGGGTATAGTGTTCTCCTTGCTCATAGGAGCTGACCAAGGGAGGGTCTAAGTCAGAGTGTCAAGGCCATCCCAGAGTGCTGCTGCAGCTGGCACTTGATTTCTAAGAGGACCTTAAGTGTGCTGGGTTCAGGTCCCAGCCCAGCCCTAAGAAGTGAGTGGCAGGCAGAAAATAGAAGATGCCCAAGCTTCAGAGTCAGACCTCACTTCACTACCCACTACTCTGGGTGCTGTTTAGTAAGTTACTGGACTTCTCAGACCCTCAGTATCCTGACCTCTAAAACGGGGATGATAGTAATACCTATCTCCTAGGACTTTTGTGAAAATTAAATCGGATCATCTATGCAAGTTCTTATAACAATACACTGAGGAAGTGGTGGCTCTTAATATTTTGTGTTGGGTCAAGTAAACTCTTAGAACCTCCATTTCCCCGTCCACAGATGCGAATGATTCTCTCTACTACCTACTCACCAGGGCATTTGGGCAAATTGAATAACATGCTGGGTGTGAACAGACTGTTAAACCATGCAGTTCTAGTCACATTCCTGGTAAAAATAAATATGTGAACATATGATGGTGGTAATTGTAGTGTTCTATGTATTTGTGAAAAATTGGGAGCGTGCTAAATGTCTATCAGGAGATTCTAAATGTGTAATGGGAATGCACCGTTTCTCATTATGGATTACTCTGGAGCTGTAATCATGAGCTTGACCTCTATACTGAGAGGAAGGATGTCCGAAATGTAATGTTATGTGAAGAAACCAGTGGAAGAACAGTGTAAATGGTATATGCTCGTCTTTTTTAACAAATAAAATATATATGTATGCATTGAGAAAAGGCCGGGGAAATAGGCAACCAAATTTTACAGTGTTTATCTCTAGGGTAGTGGCTTCAAAGTGGGCTGTATGCATCCTGGGGTAGAGGTCAAGATAATCCATTAGGATGAGGGAAGAAGACTGTTAGGACTTTTTTAGGTGTATCTTTTTATCTCATCTTTTTAAATGCTGTTCTGGAGAGTGTACATTTTATAAGACACATAATTTTATAGAGTAGCACATGTTCATAATTTATAAATAAATACCAGTTTATTGCAGGTAAGTGTGCAAGCTTGTTTTATTAATGGCCCGTGTGATCACAATAGGTTGGAGTCCATCGATCTAGGTGGTGGGATTTCAGAGGCCCCCACTTTCTCCCTTGCATGTGTCTTTATCACTTGAATTCTTTACAATGCGCATATATATGTTATGCTCTTCACTCTCCCCCTCCAGATGAAGTCAGGGAGGACTTCCTGGACCTGCTTGATGCATTGCTGCTCCATGCCCAGACATATGTCCCCCGGCTGGTGAGGATGGAGGCCTTCCACCTTAGCCTGTCCCAGAGCGTGGTTCTGCGTCACCACTGGATCCTCCCCTTTGTGCAGGCTCTGAAAGACCGCCTCGCCTCCTGCCACAGGTGAGTCCCGAGTGCTCCCCTCTGCCTCTTATCTCTCTCCCGTCCAAGAGTCCTCTTCCTGTCCTGAGCTACTGCAGGCGTGTGGGTATGAGTGCATTATTCCAGCAAGCAGGCCAAACCTGAAGGTTAGCACGCTGAAGGTGAGGTACGTGCTGTACGCCTCATCCTGTGTGACCTGGGGTACGCCATGTAAGCCCTGGAAGCCAAGTCCTCATCGGTGTGCAGGTCACGGGAGTGGTGATGGCTGCCTCAGAGGGGACTTGGCGAAGGATCTGAACTGGACCCAACTTCTGGTTTTGTCTGTCAGCCTAGGGCTTTTTTATCCTTAACTATTTTATACTTCTTCCTAACAGAAATGCCTTTCCTCCTAGACTTGGCCAGACCTAAGCCCTGCTCCTTCACCGAGGCTGTCCCCGAATCTCTAAGTCCTGGGGATCGCCTGGTACTGTGGCTGTTTACACCCTAGAGCTCATTTTACTCATCCTCGTAACCAGTCTTTCCCATGTCCATCTCCTCTGGAGCCCAAGTGCCTGTAGGCTCAAGAATTCGGCTTGTCTCTGAATTATCTTTTTTCCAGGTGCTTTGCTCATTGTAGGCATCAAATGGATGTTGATTGAATGACTCGGCAGGCGAGAGGGAGCCCAGAAATTATCCTCTAGATCCTCTGATGTGTATCTAGAAGCCAAAAAATGCTACCCAGGCACAAAGCCGTCGGCTCAGCCCCTAGCACATGGGGAAAATTCTTGGACTAGATCAGAACTGTCCTTTTCTAAACTGCAAGGAACAAATTGTCCCTTAAATGATCTATGAGCACCTACTTTGAGAACTAGACTTCCACAATTCCCGTCAGTAAAGTTGAGATAGTCTCACATTGTTTAATGGAATGAATTGCTATTAATAAAGTAAAAATTTGCTAGCAGCTGGATGAAACTGTGTTACTTAGACTGGGCGATTATTTAAGGCCTTGTCCAGCTCTCATATTTTAGGGTTCAGTTTACCACCTGTATAATAGGGTGACAATACCAAGTCTGAAATGAGTTAACTATATTTTCAAAGTGCTTTTTTTTTTAAACTTTTTTTTTCTGATTTTTTTCTTATTATTGTTCCTGAAATGTGGTCTTTTCTTTTTCTAAATTTTAGATTCTGCTTTACTGCCAACCGGGTAAAGATTTATACTAATCAAGAGAAAACAAGGTGAGCCTCCCCACTTTGCCCCCAATCATTTCCAGAAGATTTTATGGAGTGCTTTGGGGGTGCTTTGCTTCTGGCCTTGTCTGTTCCAGTTTTTTGTTGGCTTGTGCTTTACAAAAGCAGCTGTTCCCAAATCTGAACCTTTCATTAAGAAAAATAACTGGGGGGACATGCGGGAAGGAACAGAGGTAGAGAAAGACATCTTGGTGTAGTGAAAAAAGCCCGAGACTAAAAGAAAACCTGGCTCTGTCCCCAATTTAATGTTTAGCTCATATCTTCACCTCTGTGACTTTCCGTTTCCATGCTGTCACATGCCTGCCCTTGATACATTCATCATGGGCACTTGTGAGATTCAAATAAGCCAAACAAGTTTTGAAAAGTATTCAAGTGTTAGATGAACATAAGAAGAAATTATTATCATCAAGGCTTCAAAGCAGGCCTCCCTGTCTGATCCACTCACTGAGCTGCCTTCTCTTAGCGCCTCTGAAAGGAGGGCTCATTCCTTCACTCACTCTATACGCAGATTTATTCAGCACCTACCGATTCAGCAATGAAAAGATCAGCACAGTCCCTGCTCTTAGGGATCTCACATTCTGCAGGGGAGACAGATAAGTCATTGAGATTGTTCCTAACTATTGTGTGATACGATAGTCAGGAGCAGATAGCCAAGGAGGGTTCTGGGGAAGTGGCCAGAGAGGTGGCATTTGCTGGGGACCTGAGAATGACAAGGAGCCAGCCCTGGGAAGAGCTGCTGTAGGAACCTCCAAGCAAAGGACACAGCAAACAAGGTGACTCTGAGGCAGGAAAGAGTCCAATTGGCGTGTTTGAGGCCAGGGAGCAGGTGGGCGGGCGATAGGCAGTTAAGTTGTGCAGGGTTAGTTCATGCAGGGCCTTCAAAGTCAAGACGGAGAGTTTGGATGTTTAGTGTCAGGGAAGCCATTGGAGGGATGTGAACAGAAGAGAGGCGTGATCCAATTTATGTTTGTAAATGTCAGTCTGGCTAGACCATGTCTGTGTCTGAGGCTACCAAGTGGAGAAGAGGTATAAGAGAGAAGGGTAGACACAGAGCGAGCAGAGAGGGGGCAGGTGTTGCCATCCCAGTGAGGGACCAGTGGTGGCCTGGATTAGGGTGATGGCAGTGGAAAAGCCAAGAATTGGACATAGTCCCAATATACTAGAGGTAGAATCAACTGGAATTACCAATGGGTTGGATCTGTGCAAAGTAAGGGGATTCCTAGGTTTGGGGTTTGAATAACTGGGTAAACAGCGGCCCCATTTTTTTGTGATGGGAAACACCGGTGGGGTGAAAATCAAAACTTCTGCTTTGTGCCTCTTAGATTTTGCTGCCTGTTAGACCCCCAGGTGGAAATGTCACATACTCAGTTATATTGCACAGGAGAGGTGCCAGCTAGAGACAGAAATTTGGGAACCATGAGCCTGTGTGATATTTAAAGCAAGGCTGGGTGAGATCTGCCTGCTGGAGAGCTAAGAGGGCTGAGGACTGAGCTCTGCAACCCTTGGCCATTTAGTGATTAGAAAGACGGGAGGGCAGTGGGGGGAGACTGGACCAGGAGGCCAGAGGTGGGATCAAACCAGGACTGTGTAGTGTGTGGTTTGAGAGAGAGAGAAAAGGGTCTCAGGGAGGCTTTTTAAAGATGAGAGAGAACATGAGTGCTGATGGGAGGGTGGCTGGGGCCAGAGAGCCAAGTCCTCCAGAAAGGGTCCAGACTCAGGAGTGATGAGGAGGAGTGATGGGTGCAGAAGCTCTGGGGCGTGTAGACTTGGCAGTGGCAGATGAAGGCGTTCCTGCAAGGGTTATGAGACCCTGGAGAGGGAGGGGAGATGTGTGGTTAGGACTGGGGAAGGAAGGTTTCCAGCCAGAGGAGGGGGCGGATGAACGAGGCAGCTGAGAGAGCAGGAAAATGAACTGACCAGGAGATGGGGTAAGAAAGCACTCACGGTCTAGACTGCTAAGCTTCCTGGCTGTCGCATCCTCTGCCCCATTGCAGCTGGTTTATGTTCTCAGGTGTTGCATCTCATGCCCATGTTGTCTCCACTTCTGCCTCTCTCCAGGACCTTCGTTGGGCTTGAGGTCACGTCAGGGCACACCCAGTTCCTAGACCTGGTTTCTGAAGTAGACAGAGTCATAGAGGAATTTGACCTCACCACTTTCTACCAGGTAATGAACGGGGCCTTTTCTTCTCCACTGGCCCATCTATAACTGGAGTAAAACAAGCCTTCAAGTACCCCTTGTTAAGAGGCAAACTGAAGAGCCCTCCAGAACCTTCCCAGATCAAGTGTCCGCAATGCCAGCCTTCAGAAGACACACACCTCTGGGGAGCTGAGGGGCCTGAGATGTGGTCACATGCAGCCTACCCGAAGTCCAACATTTCTTAGAATTTCTTAGAATTCTTTTTTTTATGTCTTAAATATACACACAATTTATACCTTCTTCTCCATATTGTATTCATGTGTATTTTTTTATTTTTAAAAAAGTAGTTCTCCCCAATATTTTTTAGTAAAATTGACATTCCAGGAAGGGTGTAGCTTCACATACTTCCCTGCACCTTTGCCCCGTGCCCTCCAGGGGTACTTGACTCCAAGTTGAATGCCAAGGCTTTAAAGGGCCACTGGTTTTGCCTGATAAACTCTTTTTAAACCGTGCTGACATATGTAGGTATGAATTTGAACAATTATTATTTCTTCATAATTTTAGACATTTTGGATTTTATATATTTCATCTTAAAAAGCATGTCATCTGTTGAAGTGCTTTAAGTCAGAAAATAGACTCGAAGCCTGGATTATCTTCCGCATCCCAGATTTAATGACTCGCTGTGAATGTGTAAGAAGGCCTCTGAGAACTGGACTGGCTTAGCGCGGGGCTGCCATAACAAAATACCACAGACTGGGTGGCTTAACGAAATCTATTTTCTTACAATTCTGGAGCCAAGATCACGGTGTAGGCATGGCCAGTTTTTGGTGAGGACTCTCTTCCTGATTTGTAGGTAGCCATCTTCTCGCTGTGTCCTCACATGGCTGACAGAAGGAAGCAAGCTCTCCCTTATACAGGCACGAACCCCATCGTGAGGGCCTCCACCTCACGGCCTCATCTAAACCCGCTTCTCTCCCCAAGGCCCCACCTCCAAACACCGTCATACTGGAGGTTAAAGCTTCCACTTAGGAATTGGAGTGGAAAGGGGTGAATAGTCCATAGCAAGTTGCGTCCACAAGCAAGGACCAAATCAGAGCTACTTTGTCCATCTGTAGAGGATGCTTGACATCAACACTGATCAACACTGAGGGTCTAGTCTCCCAGGGAGCAGGCCAGGGTTCCAGCAGGGTTGCCATGACAGCTCTGTCACAGACCTGCTGTGATATCTAGGCCTGCCCTGGCACCTGGGTGACCGCCTGCCTCCCTGCCTCCCCTCCGCAGGACCCTTCATTCCACATCAGCCTGGCCTGGTGTGTGGGTGATGCTCATCTCCAGCTGGAAGGACAATGCCTGAGGGAACTCCAGGTGAGTTTCCAGTGCAGGACCAGAGGCTGCTGAACTCTGGAAGCGATGGGATAGGTGTGGGGGAGCGGACGGGAGCTGACTGGCCCTGGGGGTTAGACATGCAAACCTGAATCCCTGGGAAATTACTGACATGGCAGGAAACCCCACCACCTTACCTGGCTCCTCCAAGTGGACCAGCAGCAGCACCTGGGAGCTTATTAGCACTATAGACTCTTAGGCTCCAACCCAGAACTAAGAAATCAGAATCGCATGTTAACAAGCTCTCTAGGGATTTGTGTGCATAATAAAATGCGAGAAGCGCTGTCCTGGAGCACTGATATGAGAGGACACTGCAGGCCTTTCCTGAAGTCCTAGCCCCTCGTCCACAGGTCAAAGGCTTGGGTTCCCACAGGGGTCTGGCAGCTGTTGGAAATGAGTAAAAATGGCCAGGTATAAGGAACATCCTAGCCTCGTAGCCTTTCTCATATTTTGATAAGTGAAGTACTTCGCTTTCCCGTCAGCGCTTAGAGGAGCTGACACCCCGCCTCCAGGTCAGGGAGAGAGTGGGGAGTGTTGCTGTGCAGGAATGTGGGCCTAGTGTTGCTACCACTCCTGTTTTTCCAGAAAAGCCAGAAATCTAGATTTTTGTGTATAATCGCCCTATTTTCAAATGTTGGCAGCTAATTGGTATTTTTTTAAAAAACATTTTGCATGCCAAACAACACATGTGCACTCTAGATAGATACAAGCCATGGGCCATCATCACGGGGCCACCTCTGCTCTTGGCCTGATCATGCTGGAGGTGGCACCAGCAGACCCGGATCCCAATCCTGGTTATACTGGATTCTGCAATCTAGGCTTGTGAGCATCCATTTCCTCCTCTGCAAAGTTGGGATGATAGGACCAACCTCGCAAAATCGCAGAGCTGATTAGACAAGATACCTAGGTACAGAGCCTGGAGCCTGCGTGGCTCTCGGTCTCCCCTCAGCGGTGCCTAATCTCTGAAGGATCTCAGTAGGCTGGATTTGTTTGCATTGCCCTCTGGGTCCCTGATGCCCCTAAAGTGACTGTCCTCTCCCGGCTCCTGATTTAAGGAAATTGTGGATGAGTTTGAAGACTCCGAGCTGCTGCTACGCATGCACGCTGAGCAGGTCCGCTGCAAGTCTGGGAACAAGTTCTTCTCGATGCCTTTGAAGTGAGCGCCAGAGGCTCTCTTTGTCGCAGGCCCTGCTGCAGGCCAGGCAGAGATGAAGGAGCCTGCTCAACTGATGGGGATATTCCCAGCCTACCACTGGGAGGCCCAGCTGGAGGTGCAGCCACTCCTGGTGGTCCCAGGGACTGGTCCTCTCCTGGTCCTTTTGGGCTGCAGGTCCGGTGCTGCTGTGTTGTGAACATTCCCAGAAGTCACCAGTAGAGGGCAACCTGGGCTTCCTGGTTCTCCGTCAGAGGTGGTTATGCAGAAAAAAAAAATGGGGTCACCCAGTGAGCCCACCCATACTCAGCCACAACTCCCACTGTAGTCCCTCCAACAAATGGCCCCTCTTCACACTCCCCCACTCCCCTTACAGCTGTTTGTGTTGTGATGCCATTGGCCTCAGACCAGCATTTTTAAAACCATCGTGTCCTGGCTTGGGCATAGGATGATGCTTCAGGGTCTGTCACCCTCCCTCCTTGAAGCATGCCACTTTTATTTATTTGTTATTAGTCTTATCCCCTCCTATGCCAGCAGGGGCCATTTCAGGGCCAAGGTACAGGGTGCTAATTTGAGGTCCAGCCTGAGTTTTCTCCATTCCTTCCTCCCACTCACCCCCAGTCAGGTGCCTGGGGAGACTTGAACAGATGTTTTATTTTGGCCTTGCTGGTGGTGGCTTCAAGCCAGGCCTCCAACATTCTGTGACCTCTGGCTTCCCATCAGCTTTCCCAAAGAGGCAGAGCGGCGCCTACCCCCAGCCCGAGTTCGCTTTCTGCAGCCTCCAAGTGCCTGCCGTGGCCTGCAGGCCTTCTGTGGGAACGTGGATAACGGGCCAGGCATTGCACAGGATTTTTATTCTTCAGGCCACCACCAGAGCAAAGGACCAGGCCTTTCCAGTCACCATCTAGATTTCTGGTGATGGATGAAGAGATTTTGTTATTGTTTTAAATTATGTTTGACAAATAAAAATTTCAGTTTTTATTTTGGATTTTGTTTTGGCTGCTTCTGTTCAACTAGGTAAGAAGATGACTCCACTACACCATCATGTGTCACAGTTTGGGGGGGGACCTTTGGGAGTCTCTGTTATGATGTCCGAGGTGCCCACGAGACACATTAATGATGGGGCGGGGTCACCCAGCCTGCCAGGCCTGCATACCAGCGAGATGGCACCTACCACATCTAGCCCAGGGCTGGGCACATGGCAGGGGGTCGCCACCCCCATTCCTCATCAGTGTAAGCACAGACATTTAGACCTGATACTATTAACACGTTTCAAAGCCCTTTCTAGGACCTTCTCGGCTATTCCTCCCAATAACCCCCCTAAAAAGTAAACGGGAAAGATTATTACGCCTGTACAGAAGAATGGGTTAAATGACTTTCTTGAGGTCACGTGAGAATCCAGAGGCAAGGCCCCTACCTCTGCCCTAACTTCAATCCTGCCCACAGGCTCCTGGTCAGCCCTGCTCTCCCCATCACCACCCCAAGCCTGAGGGAAAGGCGCGCAGAATGGGGGCCTGTCACCCTAGCCCCCCACTCTGCCTCCTGCACTTCTGTGCTTCCTGAGCCAAGCTCCCGCTGAAGGACCCAGGAAGTCTAATTCTGGGCCACGTTCCCCAACCCCACTGCATGGATCTGCTGATTCAACTCCGACTGGCCAGTCGGTTCCTCTGGCTTTTGAGGTCATGCTGGAGAAAAGAAGCCAGCCATCCTTCCCGGCATGCAAGGAACACAGCAAACCGGCTGTGCAGCCAGCGCTTAATGACACCTGCTCTGTGCCAGGCCCTGCACTGGGCAGCGGATGAACCTGTCTTATCTGGCCCTCTGGATGCTCAACATGGGTGGGGGCAGGCAGGGTGCACAGAGGAGAAGCCCCATCCTCAACTTTGCACTTCTCAGCAACCCAATTTCCTGCAGGTCCAATTTTAGGATGGAAGCCAGCATCCAACAAGGCAGGTCCTGTGGGCACCGACCACCAGACTTTCCTCGTCAGGGACACCCAGCCTCCATCTTGAGCGCTTGCTCTTCCTGGGAGGGGGCTGGGTGTGATGTAGCAGCATCACCACCATCCTGGGAGGACAGACCCCCTGGTCCCTTGGGGGAGGATGTGGCTCGGATGGAATTAGAGTGTGGCAACTTTGAGAAACGGGCCAAGATCAATAACTGGCTCCTCCGTGGAGAATGAAAGGTGGTGATAGAGGAAGGAAGTAGGAGATTCACTGGGGGTGGGAGTGGGCGGCAGGCTGGGCCGGAGGAGGCTGGGCGGCAGGGGCTTGGCACGTGCCCAGACGTTGAGTGTGCTGCTGGAGAACAGGCTCCGCTGACAGTGCAGAAGCAGCTGGGGCTCTTCCATAAGAGGAGATGTGCTCCGGAGACAGAGGCACGACCAGAGCAGGCCGGGTCCACCCCAGGCAGGCTGGCAAGGAGGAAAGACATGCACTTGATGGGGATTTCATCACACCAGGGAGAGTGCAAAATCCACACACCTGGCCTCAGTGTCCTCAGATGTTCCCTGCAGGGCAGGGAAATGATCGTCGGCCTGTTTGGCCCATTTCCACCTGGCACTCTTGGCTCCGCACACGCCTCTCCAGACCACCCCAGCTTTGTTTCCAAGGAAGAGGGAAATTACCTCGGCTTGTTTGTTTATTCCTTGTCTTGGTACCAGGAGCCTGAGAGGCCAGGGGTGGGGGTGGAGGTGGGGGCCCTGGTCCTGCTCCCAATCCACAGGGCCTTTCCTTTCCTAAACAAGGGACCTTGGCCACTACCTGAGCCAGAACCTTCCTTTTACAAATAAGGAGACAAACCCAAAGAGGAGAAATAACTCACTCAAGATTGCCCACTCAATTCGTGCTAGGGCAGGAACCCCATGGCCTGGCTTCTAATCCAGAGCTGTTTCAACAACCCCTTACATCACCTCAGGGTCTCAGAAGGAAACTGTGCTGTGAAATGACGAGTCTGGGCTTTAATTCAAAAGGCTCCGAGAGAAAAAGGGAGTGGGGGAGGTTAGGGTCTAGATGAAATGACTTTGTCAAAATGTGGATAATGTTTAAAGCCGGCTGACGGAAGGGCTGGAATTGGCACATCTCAGTCCCCAGTCCCTCAGGGCTGGCCACACCCCTGGGATGGATGGATGTACAAACCCACTTTGGGCCTAGAGCTACCTGTAGGAGCCAGAACCAATCACTGGGAGCTTCCAGGTCTGGTCACAGGGATGCCATCTCCTTAAGGTAGTATTTACCCAAAGCGAGGAAGTTCCAACCGAGAGAAAACAATGACTAAACTGGTCTGACCATTAGCCTCTAGGAGCATTGCTCATGGTTCCTGGGCTCCTCTCTTTACTAGGTAACCCCCTAAATTCAAGCTGTTTTTTAACTGGCTGATTGGGAATAAATATTGTGAAAGATTGCAATGAGTTCAGTAAAACTGAGACAACCCCGTTGTCCATTTCTGACTGTACATTTCCCAAAAGGAAATTTCAGAGCAAAAACTTTAGAAATCTATTTCCCAAAGGAGGGGCTGCACAAAGAATTTAGTCAGTGGAAATGGATGAAATTGCCCCAATCTTTTCTCCAAACCCCAACTGTCATTCCCTGAGGAAGCTTTGCCAAACACCAGAGGCTGTCCACCCACCGTCGATGCTGACAAAGAGTTGTTGCATGACCAAACTTTAGACTGGCCTCCCTGGGCCCTCTCCCCAAAAGGCCCATCCATGTACTTCCTTCTACAATCCAGTTTTATCCAGAATCCTGCTAAATCAGGTTAGTGAGAATTCCCCACCCTTGATAGAACATCTGATCACACTCTCCATCCCCATTACCTTCCAGGTGATGATATCTGATCACCCTGGCCTGCCTTCAGCCAGAATCCCCCCAGATCTGATGTCTTCTCTTAGTCATTTTCCATCCACCCACCCACACACCCACACACACACACACACACACATAATTTGTTCCTTGGCTATAAATCCCCACTTTTTCTGGTTGTGTTTGGAATTGAGCCCCATTGGTTATTGGAGTCTCTCCCTATTGCAATTTTTTTTCCCCAGTAAAATCTATCTTTACCACTTTAACTTCTGTCCATTTCTGGTTCCCTTTAACTGTTTTTAGTGTCATGTCTCAGATCTGGATCAGAACCACCATCGGACCCTAAGAGGAAACAACCAGCGACCTAGACCTTTTATCCCCATGATTCCCAATATCATTTAAAGCCAGAAGGACTTGAGGGACTCCGCCCAATAATCCAAGGTTTATTAGACAAAACAGTCCAATCACTTTCTAATCCCCACTTTTAGTGCATTCAATACTCCTATTGTCACGGTCAAAAAACCAAATAGGCAAGGATATGGGTTAGTCCAAATCTGAGCTCTGTCAAAATCGTCAAACCCAGATCTGCCTTGATGCCTAACCCTGACACGATCCTGTCTGCTATTCCTTCCAACACCCAATATTTCCCAGTCCTTGGTTTACGTTCACCTGGTTTAAATTCCCCTTCATAAGGAATCCCAATACTTGTTTGTCTAAACCTGGGATAACCAACAATATACCTAGACCGTTATGCCCCCAAAATTTACTGAGGCTCCTACTTACTTCTTGCATACCTTAAATGCCAATTCCCAGGAGATTCCACTTTAATCCAATATGTAGATGACCTCCTTCTCTGTTCTGACAATTATGACAACTCCTTTGGACACCAAATACCTTCTTAAGGCTTTAGCAAGAAAAGGCCACAAGGTGGCTAGAGACAAAATTCAACTGTTCTCTCTGTGTGTCTGATACCTGGGTCATGATATTTCAGCTGCAGGTAGAGCTATCTCCACAGACAGAGCCTCTACTATTCAACATGTTTCTCTCCCTGACAGAAAACGACAACTGACATGTTTTTGAGGTCTAGTGGGATAGGACATGGGTACCTAATGTCTCCATGTTTGCCTCACCTCTCCATGCCATGACTAAGGAGGCATCCCCAGACCCAGGAGTCTGGGACCCAGCCCCTCCAACAATGCCTTCAAGAACTTTAAGTTCTGTCTGCTTTCACCTCCCATCCTTCGACTGTCCAATGACTCCCTGCCTTTTTCTTTGTGCGTGAACGAAAGGGTCACACCCTCAGAATGTTATCCAGGGAGCATAATGGACACCAAAGACCTCTGGGATATTCTAGCTTGGCCTTGGACCCAGTAGCCAAGGCATATCCCCCTGTGAGCCACGGCGACAACCACCAAACTCGCCCACGCTACCTCTGATTTAGTATTAGGTCATCCGCTTGACATCCATGTTCCTCGGGCTGTGCAGACCCTGTCGCTTAATGAAAACACACGGCACTTTCCTGCATCTCGACTTACCTCCTATGAAATCGTACACCTCTCTTCCCTCTCACATCATCATATATCACCATCAAAATCTTAACCCTGCCTTCCTTTACTCACTGATGGGACACACCACGACTGTGTCCTTAACACTAGATCATTATCTTGTCCTCGGCTAGCTTTGTCAGAAAACCCCCTCCCCCAAGTTGACCTCACTTTTCATGGCAATGGCTCATACCTCCAGAAGGAGGATGGGGCCCTCCAGGCTGGAGATGTCATTACAGATCAACATGAACTCCTAGAATACCAAACCCTGCCAAATGTCAAACCAGCCCAGGAAACCAAGTTAACTGCTCTTACTCAGGCTTTCGTAAAAGCAGAAGGAACTAAGGTTAGCATTTATGTTAATGGCCACAGTGCCTTTAGGGTAATACATGATTTGCGTACATTATAGAAACACAGAGGATTCAGGACAGCAGCTGGTACCCCAGTCGAAAATGGACCCCAAAAAGCAGAACTTCTAGAGGTATTGTTATTATCCCAACAGATCACTACAGTTAAAACTGAGGGACACAGTGCAAAAAAATACAGATGAAATCCAAGGAAATAAATGGGCTGATAAACGTGCTAAATTAGCAGCCTCTTCCCCAGTCACCCAAGAAATCCCAGTGTTTCCCAAACCTTGGGAC